AATTTCGACGGCGAACTAGTTTAAAACAATTCTGAGGACGGACCAACTTCATTTTTACCTCCAAGGCTCACAAATCATCAAAAATACGAAATTAGGAAAACACGAAAATTTGATAACTAGTGTTCTGCGCATGCGCCAGAGAAAACTGGAAATACTCATACTCATATGTCCGGTACGCGAACCCGTAGCCGAAATGCAGCACGCCCTCACCTTGACCCAAGCCAAGGTGGTCATTTCTGAACCGGACCGTATTGGAACCGCGATGGCTGCCTACCCGGGTGTCCCGCACGTCGTCCTGACTGGGCAGCCTCCGGATGGCGCCAAGACCTTCCTAAATATACTGCGGATGGGGGAGGCCACTCAACCCCGACCCGATCCGGACACCTACCGCGCCGTCGAGCTCGGTGACCGCAGCCAGCATGCGCCTGTGATTCTCTTCTCGTCTGGGACGACGGGGATGCCAAAGGCCGTGATGCTGCGAGACAGCAGTCTCACGTTGACTTTGGCGAACACATCGTACGTATTTACTCGCACACTGTAAATTCTGGAGCGAGTTCAATCGCTTTATGATTCTCTATGGCACACTCAAGCTTTTATCCCAGAAAGGGGGATGGAATACAGTATTCCGGACAAACCAAGCGTCGGGAAACGAGAGGTGAAGAGTGCCGGTCGGTCGAAACTCTGTCTTAAATGGCTTCTCGACCTGCTCCCCTGCAATGGCAATGGCGTCCGGAGGTAACGGTCCGAATTTCAATTTCAAGCTTAAGAGTATCGTTCAAAATAATTTAGCTGAGTTATTACAGAGGCGAAATAATCGAAAACTAGTGGCGTCGCCAACTTGCGCGACAGATCAGTTGAACAGCAGAGCAAATGCACAGATGCAAAAGGTATGACACAGGTCGGACCAGCACAATCTTCGTCTCTCGTTTACAGCGCTTACATTGGTTCCAGGTTCCAGCCCCCAATTCCCCAGAGCGGCAAGCAAAAGGCTTTCGAGACGATGTCATTCATTGATTGTGTTACTCATCATCAGGATATGTTCGGGTGCCTTGTAAGGGTTGACCTGACGATATAAAGTGTTCGCTCCCCACAATGTGCCTGGGGCTCCTCTCTCCACCAAGACAATGCTCACGCCCAGGATCGGCTCAGCGAGGTAACTTTTGGGTACTGTCCCTTCGACCAGAGTGTTTGCGAGTCTAAGACGATATTAAAGCCTAGCCAGCCGCTCTGCCAGAATATAGGGGTTGGACCCTACCGGAATACTACATTTCCTTGGTTAAGTCGCTCTGAGCCACTGACTCCTGGATCACCCTGGGCTACAGGACAGTCGTGCCTATCAGACCAAAGGCTGGTGCAAGCCGCTCGTCAAATTTGATGAGCAGCTCTTTTCTCGACACCTCTCACATTAAAAATTCTGTGTCACGATGACGGAAATACCATGGCTAATTTTTAGTACAGGGGTGTGGTCACGAGTTTTTTCGTCACGATGACGAGAAAATCTTGGAAAAGTAACGAAAAAACCCATGACGACACCCCTGTACTAAAAAATAAGCCATGGTATTTTCGTCATCGTGACAGAAAATGTTGACAGTGCTGGCAGCAGTGTTGACGAAGGTAAGGCCTCGGACGCCATGCTTTTACTGACGTCCCCGCTGTGTTGGTTCTCGGGCGTTATGAACCTTTTCTGGAGCCTGCAGACAGGCAGCACGAGGGTGTTCATTACACACTCCGACGACCTCGCCGTCCTGTCCGCCATCGACAAATATAAGGTAAGCCACTGCAGAGCATCTCAGCAACAATAATGCTTGCATGTAAACGCAAACTTATCGGGACTCCGAATCACTGTAAATTTCTTACGGTCACCCGCTCTTCGTCTGGTAGAAATGATTTTAAGGGGGCAAGCTCTGTGAAAATTATCAAAAATTCGAGGGTTCTTTCCTTGCTTTAAAAAAAATCTTTGGACTTTTTCCTTTCTAACGCGGCAAAGCGGGTGTTGAAATTTGAAAAAAAAAAGCACCTTAGGGGGCCTTAAACGTGCTGCGGTGCGCGAAAGGACGAGTTGGGTGACTAGGGGGCCTGATCACTCGGAATCATCCGGGCTCGACTGGCTGCTCAGGGCAAGATACAAGATACTCGACGAGGAATGAGTCCTCTATCACCTCGGAATCCGAGGGGGTTTTCACTCGGAATTTTCGTGTACAGTGTATTACATATTACGTGTATTACGCGGTATTACGCCAGTTTTACACAAGCTTTGCAACCCAAATTCTACCGTTTTAGGGCATATTTTCCTATTTTTCGGTATTACATTACGCGTAATACCTAGTTTTGGTGTACACTGTATTACGCAAGTGAAAACCCCCTCGTCGGAATCATTACGGAGTTGCCCCGGCCCCCGGCTTTTTGTTGTTATTACTTAACCGTTGGTAGTCATGTTAATGTTCACTGTGATTGGTCAGACTGTCGTCATCAGCAGTCTTTTGTCATAGCTTATATATATCATGTTTTCCCTCAATAAATCTCTCTCATTCTGCTCGACATCAACCGGAGTGGTTTTCTCCTTTTATTCCCTCTCTCCTGGTTGACACCTCTGCAAGTCATCA